TTTTTAGGCATATTCTTCCTTGTATTTTAGCCTTTCTAGTGATACAGGCAATAATTAAACTTTAAGGCAGGGTTTATCAGCCTTGGCACTATTAACATATTGGGCCAGATAATTATTTGCAGTGTGGCTGTCTCATGTATTGTAGGATGTTCAACAGCATCCCTGGCCACTAGATGCCACTAGCACAACCCTTGTTATGACAACCAAAAATATCTCCAGGCATGCCAAACGTCCCCTGGGCGGGGGGTGGGGGGGTCAGAATCCTCCTAGTTGAGAATGACTGTTTTAAGGTAATACCAGTTTGTTCAGTGAGCACCCAGATTGTTTTCTAACATGACTGTCTAATAATGCAAGTGCATGGCTTGTGTCATTTTTTTTTTTTGGTATTTGAGAGACCTCTTACAAATTAGGTAGTTTTGTATGTTGTGATAATTTGTGGACTTGATCAAAATCAGACAAATGCTAACAATAGAACTTAGAAGATTCCAAATTTATATATATATATATATATATATATATATATATATGTAATATAATATTTAAATAACTAATGAAAGATCTGAAGTGAGACAGTTATAATAAGTTCTGATATCATAATATACAAAATTAGTTATACTAATTTAATTAATTAAAAAAATTAATTATACTAAAAAATAATAGTACTATGTATTTGTGTTGCATTTCAAAGATTTTTTTAGGTGGTTTCACATGTATTTTCACATTTGATTCTCAATCTATGAGGTAGAATCTTAGAGGGGCAGCTATCTTTATCCTCAAGTTGCCAATGGGGAAAATAAAATCCAGAAAGTAGGAGTGATTTGCCTCAAGTCTCTCATGCTAGTTGAGAGACAGAAGCAGGTGTTAACCCAAGTTTCTCTGACAAAAGCCAGACTAGAATTCTAAGATAGGTCTCCTTAATGATTGAAGCATTCTCCCCACCCACCCCAAAAAGAGGGAACCAAGTAAATATTGTTATGGTTAATGATGGAGAGGCCTTTTCTTATCTGGCTTTTATCACTATCTGAAGTATTTGCCTTGAACAATGATGAAGGTCCTAGTTCAGTATAAAAATCTGTCTGGAATGATGTGAAGCCCTTCAGTATCTCCTGGTGGTAGAACTGAGCTTCCTGTCTTGCCCAGCTGTAAATGCGCTTTTGTGCAGTGCCCTGCGCCTCGTGTGCTCCCTGTCACTGGTCAGCCCCTAGCCCTCCTTGCAAGCCCTTCTTCCTGGCACCGCCTGTCCAGCGAGGGTTTCCTCTGTTCTCCTTTAGTTGTTGCCTCTGGGCAGACAGCTCAGGGCCTCAGCCCGGAGGAAAAGCAGAGTTGGAGGATTCTAGTTTCCTTTGCTGTCAATGCTACACTATGTGGAAGTAGAGACTTTGGGAATCTAACACATCAGTTCAAGCACAGGCTCAAGACAAATGAAGACAAGGTAAATCTTGAATTTTCTCCTCAATGATTTTTTTCTCTGGGGTTCAGTAGATCACAGTGGCTGTCGAAATTGTGGTGGCATATTTGTGAAATTCTTCCACATTGCTGGCCATTTCTGGTTTGGTAATTGATTGCCATTTAAAAAAAGAAAAAACTTCTGTTCTTTTTTGTGACTTTTGCTTAAAAAGCTACATAGCACGTTTATGTGAATGGGGATTGGAAGAAAATGAAAGATAAGAATCTTTAAGTTCATGGAATTGTGGTCAATTTTTAAAAATTCCAATATTTTATTATAATTATCCAGTAAATAAAAAATAATGATAAAAAAGTATATATACAGCATACCATCTTTGCTAAGTATATACAGTCTTAGTGCCATATTATTTATTCCAGAGTGACTTCACTTAAATTACCTCTCAGTCAGCTATGGGCCTCATTGCAGATTAGTATGCTCCATTCGCATACCTCATGTGTCATTGTAGGTCAGTATACCTTAATATCTGTTACTACAAGATAGTATACCTAATATGTATTTTTGTTATTTACAGACATGAAGCCCTCTTTAATGATTTCTTTTTTTGAAGAGTTCACAGAAAATCTGTTGTTTTTTATTTTCAGCTCCCTTTCTATAAACAAGTTTTTAACTTGAGTACCATAAAATTCCTTTAGTAAAGGAGTCAGGGGGTCTTTACAGAGGTTGCTGAAAATTTGACCTATCCATTTTCTTTCTTCCAGACAAAAATCTCAGCAGAAGCATGATGCATAAATATCTGTTCCATTTGTCAAACTCCTCAGATACAATAATTACATAGCTTCCCTCAGGGATTACACTTCCTGTCAATAAATTTCTCGTAAATATTGGATAAATTCTTCCTGCAGAAGCTTAAGGTTTTTTTTTTTTTTTTGCCAGAGTAGACAAGACATTGAACAGCTTGTCATTATGCATATGTAAAAACACACATTGTTATTCACTGTGTTTTCTCTTCTCTGGGCTGTGCCATCTTAATTTTAGAAACATCCTCATGAGTTTCTATATCTAACTTTCAGCCACACCCAGTAGGGATTCCTGCCCTTGGTCTGTGTCCAGTCAACTGTCTAACATGGGAAGTTGCATTCATTCAATTCAGCAGGTGTTTATTGAATGCTTACTGTGAGCCCCAGTGTCTCAGGCCTCACACGCACAGTGTCTAGTCAAGGATGGGTCTTGTGCTGTGTTTTTTGAAATATCACACGAAATTAAAAACTAAACTGTTTAATTTCAAAAGTAGTAAGATAAGTTTAGGCTATAACCTGCTGCTGGGGCATAAAATTCTACCTCGGAGCGATTCTGTGGCTTTGAATCACAGCCTTTGTGTGTCCCTGAGCAGCTGACATGGTCGGCCTCTCAATAGTAGTTTTGTCTTGCTGGTGTGCATACTGGCAGCTTGGAAGAGCTGACAAAGAGAGCAGCTGCTCAGGAGTCTTTCACCTTTGGGGTCATCAGTGGGACCTTGGTCTTGAGAAGAGTGAACACAAAACTTCACCCTGATCAGCTCATTGTGAAGGTCCAAACAGCAGCAGCAGCCAGGAACTTCTCTGGCCACTTGTAGTTTAAAAAAAAAAAGCGTAGCTGAGAAAAGACCAACAGCTCAGGATTTGAACTTTGAAAACGTAGGATCTTGTGGTCCAGCTCCCAGGTCAGAGATGGAGCCAGTTTTCAGTGGCAAGTCAGCCAGTAGCTGTTCCCTTTTGCAGATGTGTGGGAAGGCCACTCTCTACAAGGTGAGTGGCCACTTGTATAGCAGACACCATTCAGGTCTCATTAATTACTTGCTAGCCTCAGTATTAATAGACTCAATTGAGCTATTAGATTTCCTGCTGATGCCCAAGTGGAAAATCTATTTGACATTTTATTTTCAATTTAAAATATATTTGTGTGGACAGATTAAGGCAGGAGACATGTCTTTGGCCTTATTAGAGGAACTTAGTCCAGTGCCATTGCTTTCCCTCTCACCAGTTGTAGAGGTCACTATTGAACCTTCCAAAGAAGATATGTCATAGCCAATAAGCACATAAAAAGATGTTCAGTGTCGCTAGTCATTAGGGAAATGGAAATGAAAACCACAGTGAGATACCACCTACACCCATTAGGATGGCTTCTAGGCAATGATGTGGAGGAATTGGAACCCTGGTGCACTGCTCATGGGAATACAGAGTGGGACAGCTGCGATGGAAAGCAGTTTGGCAGCTCCTCAAAGAGTCAAAAATAGAATAACCTGAGGATGCAGCAATTCCATTTCTGGGTATATACCTGAAAGAACTGAAAGCAGGATCTTGAAGAGGTATTTGTACACCCGTATTCATAGCAACATTATTCACAATAGCCAAAAGGTGGAAGCAAACCAAGTGTCCATTGACGGATGAATGGGTAAATAAAATGTGGTTCATACATATAATAGAATGTTATTCAGCCTTTACAGGAAAGGAAATTCTGACACGCCACCGCATGGATGAACCTTGAGGACATGATTCTAAGTGAAGTAAAGTTACAAAAAGACAAGTACTTTCATTTAATATGAGTCATCTAGAGTTGGCAAATTCATAAAGACAGAAAGCAAAATGGTGGTTGCCAGGGGATTGGGGGAGTGAGGAATAGGGAGTTACTGTGTAATGGGGACAGAGTTTCAGTTCTGCAAGATGAAAAGAGTTCTGGAGATGATGGTAGGGGTGGTTGCACAACAAAGTGAATGTGCTTAACACAATCAAACCACGTATTTTACCACAATTACAAATAAAATAAGATCCAAAAAAGGAACTAAAAAGTCACTATTGAACCCTCACCACTCTGCTTTCTCTGTCTATGGAGATAAAGGCTTTGTGTCCTGGCGGTGAGTGCTGCCAAATGGCCGGTCCCCCATCCCAGCCATCCTTTTCCCCTCTCAGAAGTCCCACCCTGCCCCTCAGAGGTGGGCCTCCTGTCTCCCTCCTTGTGCAGTGAGGCCCAAACATGTGCTTGAGAAACACTTTTAGTCTCATTTATGGAGTCAACCTTTGTAACTTATTTTAGGCAAGGACTATACACTGTGAGTCTGTGTTTTGGGCTTTGTTTTTACTTCTTGGTCAAATAGAGAACAATGCACTGCTGTTGTCCTGTCAGGAGGATGCTCCTGAGGCCATCAGTGTGGTGAGTCTACGAGTTGTTATCCTGGTGGTAGTGACAGATGAGCTGCACCTGACTCACTCTCACCCACTGTCCCCTAAAACAAAGGCATGCATGTGACTGCAGACTGTGTGCTGAGTTGAGGGTCTTTTATGAGATTGGATGCGCAGTCCTGGCCTCCTTTACGTCTTTCAAACAACCCTGATGAACCAAGCTCTTCACAGACATTTCATTTGTTATTTGACAGTGATTCTGGACACCAATTGTTTCTCCAGATAATTTACATTAAACTTTTGTTTTTACTTTTTGGGAGCTTGGCGTGAAATGCTTGACAGAGTTTTCTCATATTTCTGTTTTTCAGGATCACTTCATGGACTTGCTTCCTGTGCTTGTTACATGTGCCATCTTGCTCCCAAGACCATGTAAAGCCCGCTGACCATTAATCCCCCTCTGAGCAAAAACTAGATTGCAGGTAAAATCCAGCTGCTGTGCATGTGGTTCATATCAAGTTGCATGACTGTGATGAAAGTAGTAAGTAAAAGTTTAATTATTTGGTCCAGTGACTAGTTTTAAAATGTTTCATAACTGCCACTAAAGAAAAAAATCCCTTTGACTTCTGCTTTGTGACTGTACATTCTTAGATATAAAAGAATTAAAATAAAAAACCTACTAAATATATTTGGAAACATGATTGGAAGTATTACCTTCAACCTGCCTATAGTAAGATATACTGGTTAGAATAAAAAACTGAGGGCAGAAGGTTTGGATCAAATTTCACTTTGAGTTTGGCTTAACAGACTCCTTGAGCAGATGGAAGTTTTTTTTTCCTTTTTTGTCTTTTTTACTGACCGGTAACGGGATCGCAACCCTCGGTGTCGCACCCACACCGGGGACAGCAACGGGATTGCAACCCTCGGTGTTGCGCCCGCACTGCGCTCAACCAGTGAGCGAGAACTGGTCTCCACATGGGATCCGAACCCTCGGCGGGAGTGCCTCCATGCTCCCAAGCGGCGCACTCTCCAGTGCGCCACCAGGCCGGCCCGAGATGGAAGTTTTTTAAAGGGAATCAAAAGAGTTAAATAATTTTTTCTGATGCTCACATTCTAATGTCAGTTTCAAACTTTTTTCTCTCATCATGTTCTAAAGTGAGGACACCTGAGGGCTTTAGAAAAGCTCCAGAGATTCATTTTATTAAAATGTTTCTCTGTCCTAAATGAGAGCTCTTTTTCAGGACTTTTAGTCCTTTTCTTTTGTGGTATTCCTACTCTGTGCGATATATGAGCTTGGTACCTGGAGTCCTGTTATTACAAATGTGGTGGTTTTTTGAGTGATAATGTCTTATATTATGGTGAGATGTTAGCTCTACCAGTAATTGGTGTGTGATGATAATTGTCTATCTGGCTAATGAGCAGCCTTGCACAATAAGGACAACCAATTCAGTAAGTAACTCTTGTCCCTACTTCTTTGAGTTGTGCCAGGCACAAGAAGAAGTTGCTTGTTTCCTATATAATATGTAAGACATTTGTTTTTAGAAAGTTCTGTCATAATGGAATGTAATTTAGGTCATGGCTGTTACTGATGCAGTTGTTCTTAATTTAGGTTAAAATGGGGAACTCTGAGAGTCAGTACACCCTTCAAGGATCTAAAAATCATAGCAATACTATTACTGGTGCTAAGCAAAAGCCTTGCTCCCTGAAAATACGCAGCATTCATGCAAAAGATGAGAAGTCCTTGCATGGGTGGGGTCACGGAAGCAGCGGAGCAGGTTATAAGTCCAGGTCCCTGGCCCGAAGCTGCCTTTCTCACTTTAAGAGTAATCAGCCTTATGCATCCAGAGTCAGTGGGCCCCCATGCAAAGTCTCCAAAGGTGCTGCCTACTCCAAGCACAGGACACATGCCCCAGGAAGTGATTTCCAGGGCAACAGAGCTGCTTTCTCACCCGAGAATGGCTTCCACCATGTTGGCCATGGGCCAGCAGATAACCATATCACCTCGAGAGACTGCAATGGACACCTTCTCAACTGTTATGGGGGAAATGAGAGTGTTGCCTCCACCCCACAAGGCGAAGACCGCAAGAGCCCTAGAGTGCTCATCAAGACTCTGGGGAAGTTGGATGGGTGTCTGCGGGTGGAGTTCCACAATGGGGGCAGCCATAGCAATGTGCCTGCCGAGGACTGCAGCGGATCAGTGCAGCTACTGAGGTACTCGCCTGCCTTAGAGCCGGAGACCTGCCCCGCACCGGAAGCCAGGAGGGACTCCAGTGCTGATTCCCCGCCCAGCCCTCGCCCTTCGCCCACCAACTCGTGCCTGCGGTCCAGCGAAGGCAGTTCCCTGAGTTCCGAGTCATCTTGGTACGACTCCCCGTGGGGCAATGCTGGGGAGCTGAGCGAGGTGGAGACATTCCTGGCCCCTAGCGTGCCTGACCCCAGCCTCCATGCCACCTTCCCACCCTGTGACTCCAAAAAGCCTTTCAACCAAAGCTCTTCCCTCTCCTCTCTCCGGGAACTGTACCAAGATGCCAGCCTGGGGAGCCTCTCCCCCTCAGGTATCTGCCTTTCTGATGAGTCCATTGGCACGCACACCTGCCTGAGCAACCGCGTCTCCTTTGCCTCCGACACTGACGTACCCTCCAGAGTGGAGCCCAGGGACCTTGTCCAGTACAGCTCCTTCACCCTGCCCTGCCGGAAGTCCAAAGCCTTAACTGAGGAGACTGCAAAGAAGGACACCCTCAAAGCCAGAATGCGACGTATCAGTGACTGGACTGGCAGCCTCTCGAGGAAGAAAAGGAAACTCCAGGTGAGTGTACCTTAGAGTAGAAGGAAAGATTCCCTTAGGTTCTCTAGCCGTATGTAGAAGCTACTGTAGACTATTGCTGGGAGGCTAAACTGAGCTAGTGAAAGTAAGGAGTTTAGGTAAGACCTGGCTATTTTTTTGTTTTTTTCTTTTGCCTCAGATGTGCATTTTTACTCTTGGCCCACAACTTTAATCACCCTGTATCGTAGTTCGGGCTGCACACAAAATCCCACAGACTGGGTGGCTTAAACAACATATTTATTCATCTTGGTTCTGGAGGCTGGGAAGTCAGAGATCAGGGTGCCAGTATGGGCAGATTCTGGGGAGGCCTCTCTTCCTGGCTGCAGATGGCCATCTCCTCACTGTGTCCTCACATGGCAGAGAGGAAGCTCTGGTTTCTATTTCTCTTCTTATAATGGCAGTAATCCCATCAGGGGGGCTCTACCCTCCTGACCTAATTAAACCTAATTACTTCCTAAAGGCCCCACCTTCAAATACTATCACATTGGGGGTTAAGGCTCCAGCACCCATGTGGATTTTGGGGGGACACAGACATTCAGTTCACCACACCCTAGTTCTGTGTTTGCCTCTGTACTCTTGTAAGAGCTCCATAGGCCTAGTCTTTTTTTTTATTTATTTATTTATTTATTTATTTATTTATTTATTTATTTATTTATTTATTTATTTATTTATTTATTTATTTATTTATTTATTTATTTATTTATTTATTTATTTATTTATTTATTTATTTATTTATTTATTTATTTATTTATTTATTTATTTAAGCAATCATCATTATCCACTTCTTGCTATCTTATTTTGGGCAGCTGGCAGGTATGGGGATCCTAATCCTTGACCTTGGTGTTATCACACTGTGCTCTTGGCAACTGAGATAACCGGCCAGCCCCATTTCTTGCTATCTTTTCTGAGATGTGTATTCTATGCAGATACAGACAAATAATTTATTTATTTATTTATTTATTTATTTATATTTATTTATTTAATTTATTTATTTATTTATTTATTTATTTATTTTGGTGGCTGGCCAGTATGGGGAACCTGGCCAAACTGTTATTCCCAAGTACAGAGTTGGGAGAATGCCTGAACGAATTGGATGTCTGAGAATTTTGCTAGGCCTCATTCTTACAGTCCAAGCAGAAAGGATAAGAGATAGATTGTTGTTACTTTTGGATGAATAGGCTTCCTGAACTGATATTACTTTGAAGAAACTAAATTTTCTATGCTTAAGTTGGAACATCAAAAACAAAGTTGACAATGTGTCTATATGTGTAATCTCACCATCTCCTCATGGGGATAGCTAACAGAGTTTTGAAAATGTCTTGTACCTAAGTATATGTAATAGCAAAAATATAATGATGCTAAAATAAGAATCATGATGGTAATAGTAATAATACTTTTAATGACGTACAAAAAAAGTTTTGTACTTTTAAAGTTTTAATGGGGATACAAAGTGGCTTAGCCACCAAGAAGGAAAGTAATAGTTTGCTTTTTTAGGTAACTAGTGGCAATTACTAGGTTTTCAGTTTGTTATTGTTGTTTAGTTTGTTTTTACTGTTGAGTATTTATAGAAGGGAGAAAGCTTTTTTTTCCTCTCAGTATAAGTTATAGAGTTGAATTTGAGTAGGCAATTAGTTTCTAGCAGAACTGCATTTTAACCATCCTAGATAAAAATAAAATTATAAAATTTTATAGAACTTTAGGGGTGGAAAATAATATAACTTCCCTGAGTAGATTGTTTCAGATTTATGAAGCTTAATGTTAGTTGTTTCCTTCTTATGTAAAAGGCCTGCCACCACATCTCTTGTGTGTGGTACTTTGGTGCCCTTTTCTCCTCCTTTACACAGAGATAAAGGACAGATGATCACCTTCCTGTTTCCAGGACCCCTTCATATCCCTGAATGTAGTAATTTGCTTACTCTTTCGTGGTCCCTTCTTCAGACTCAGCCACTAAATAGAGATTTCTTTGACCTTTTCCTGTCAGCTCCATTTACCCAATGACTGACAACAGTTGAGCGTAACGGGAGAACTAGCTCCTACTTATGCCGGGGCTGCAGTCACATGCAGACAGCTTTCATGTCTTTTTGATTCAAGTGTTATAGTGTCGACCTATGTTCAGCTGTCATCTACCCTATCCCCTAAGTGATACTGGTATCGAGCCAGTTATTCCACATCTCTTATTTGCGTTAAATGTGTTTTTTACCTATATTGGTGGCCTGGCTTATACACAGCTCTACTGAATCTCATTCAGTTTTAGTTTCAGTTCACTTCAAAAGCAGACCAGTTGGCACTGTGTTGACTACTTTCTGTCATATGCAGGCCCCACTGCCCATCCAATGCATGGGAACAGACCCTTCCTATACTCTGTTTCATCCAAAAATTTATCTCTGAATTATCTGTGTGCCTGAAGAATTAAGAACAAATTGGTTAGAATCAAAGAATCAGAATTTTAAAGCTGGAGAGGACTCCCCCTTCATTTTATTTATTTTTTACTTATTGAAACACAATTGTACATATCTGTGAGGTACAATATTGAATGTCAGTACCTGTGTATAATATGTGATGCTCAAATCAGGATAATTAGTATATTCAACATTACATGATGTAATCATTTTTTGTTGCCCTTTACCAATTTCTTGCTAACTCCCCCTCCCCCTTTCCTGCCTCTAAGGTTCAAGGAGCTTGTCCTTGTTGAAGACACATGGTAGTTAGTGGAGAAGCAGAACCAAAGCCATATCTGCAAAACCTCAAACATGTGTTTTTCCCACTTAGCTACATGGCCAAGGTATTGTTAATATGTACTATTAATTACTTTGGGGTTAATGAATAGTAGGATAATAAATTACTTTGGGTTTTTGAAATGTGGCCTGTGAAGGCAGCTTTTTTAGTTTTGCTTATACTCCCACAACTGATAATCTATAAATATGAACAAAATAAACTTTTTTAGCAAGTATGCCACTTCTGTTGGCCTTACCTTTGTTTTCTTTTCACAACTAAGGTGAATATCAGGTTTAGATCCTTAAAAAAATGTAATCAGTGCATGGGAGCAAAGTTTGTGATAACATACCACAATAAAGCACCAACCAATGCATACTCTGTCACATGCACAAACTCCTTTATGCCAGCAGGGCGATGTTTCAGAGTTTTAACATGATGCATAGACATACTTGTTTTGAATATTAAAAAAAGTGATGTAAAAAGAGGAGCTCTTTCTTTCTAAGGTTTTAAAACCACCCTGTTGAGTTAGAGCCTGAAAGCAGATTAATCTATGAAAAAATATTCACAACTGAAAAATAGTATCACACTAATTACAAGATAAACAAAGAGAATACGTGCTGGAGAGGAATATGTGATGCAGATAAACTGTTCCTACTCACTGTGGCCACATTGAGGCCTTGTTCCTGCCCTGGTTAAATTTTCATCTGTGTGAGTCAGGGTTGCTAGGTTCTGCCAACATAACAAAAACCTTTCACATCTCTGAAGTTTAGCACCACCAGAGTTTATTTCTCACTCATGCTGCATGCTCATTACCAGTCAGCTGGTGACTCTGGGCTACACTGTTCTCTAGGATGCCTGGTCTGCCGGGTGGTTACCATCTGGAACATCACAAGGCCCTGTGGCAGAGAGAAAGAGAAAACTGTATTGGCTTTTAAAGCTTCCACTCAGAAGTGACACATTTTACTTCTGCCGCATTATTGGGCTAAGCAGAGAACATGGCCATGCCTAACTTCAAGGGAGGGAGGAGATAAGAAATGATCCTAGAATGTACTCCAGGGGAGGACCAGAAATATTTGGTGGGCAGCAGTGACGATTACTGCAGTTTATCGCAGAGCTGATTTAGGACACAGAGACCCTAAATTTCTGGACCTCTTCATTTTAAGCCCTTACTGCTGTTTGAGAGCTGCATTGTCTCGAAATTTCTACAGAGACCTAGTTAGTGGTTCCTATTCTGTAATAAAGGCAAATGACGTGTGAAGAATGACAAGGCATGAATTTAGTACTTTTTCTTAGAACGTGAGGAATGGTGATGAGTTTTTCTTTAGCTCCTGAGAAGCTGAGTAACATCTCCCTGTTTCTTCCCCCAGCTTTATTGAGGTATAACTGACAGACAAATTGTATATATGTGAAGTGTTCAAGTTGATACTTTGATATACATGTACATTGTGAAATGATCACCGCAATCAGGCTAGTTAACATATCCATCACCTCTCACAGTTACCTTATGTGTGGGAGGCTAGAACACTTAAGATGTATCCTCTTAGCAAATCTCAAGTATGCAATACAGTATTATTAACTATAGTTACTATGCTGTACATTAGATCTCAGGAACTTATTCATCTTGTATAATTGAAACTTTGTACCCTTTGACCAACATCTCCCTATTCACCCTCACTCCCCTGCCTCCTGCCTCTGGCAACCATGATTCTACTCTCTGTGTCTATGAGTTGGACTATTTTAGATTCCATATAAGTGAGATCATGTGGTATTTGTCTTTCTGTAGAGTAACGTGTCTTGAGTCCCTCTCTATTCTTTGCTGTAGTGCCCTGGTTATCAAGTTATATTAGCCATTGTTTATGATTCTTTGATTAGGCAGAAATGGAAATCATTTGTGTGGAAATAGAAATCATATACTTTGTGTACATAAATAACAGGCACCTTAGTTTCATACCCATAGCTCAAATGATTAGGAAATCTAGCTGAACATATTTATAGACATTTTATCTTTTAAAAAGGCCTTTTCTTATTAGCTTGAAAATTAGTCCCTGGCTATTAGGAGTCTAGATAGAAAGCTTTATAAATTTATTAGAGACTGGGAAAGTTCATGCTTATGTATAAGAATCAGCTATAAATGCTAAAATGTACTCTTTTCTCATTTCTCAAGGAGGAAAATTCCTGCTTTGCTGCAGTTGAATATTTAAGAGTTAGCACTACAACTTGAAGTCTCTCTTCTGGAAAACAAAGTCAAGAATATTTAGGTCACATTTAACTTTGGCACTTAAGTGCCCTTCTCTGGCAGAGTTGTGCTTGTTTTGAAACACCCCATTATTACTCTTACAGGATACCAGAAGTAATCCTAGTGTTTTGGGACTGTGAGTCAGAGAGTCCTATCTGTAGCTGAAGTAATGTTAATACTAGGTAAATGAGAAGCATTCCTTCACCTCCTAGGAGTTTTTGAAAAACAACCAAGTAACAATTAAAAAAAAATTTAAATGTATTTTGAAAGTTTCCTGTCTAAATGATGCACAGCAGCTGGTTCATTTGCTCTATTCTGCATAAGTGTCAGTGTAGAAATAAATATGACTATGGGATGCAGTGTAAACACAAGTGGAAAATAACATTTTCATTAGTAATAGCTATGTTTGGGCTCAGTTGTTTATAGCTCTGGGTATTTGGAAACACTCTTCAGTTGCATGATGATTTTCCTACAAAAGACAGCAAGTAATTGCTACTTGATTTCTGGATGAAATTTCAAAAAAAAAAAAAAAAAAAAAAAAAAACCTCTCTACACAGTGGAATATTCAAAATAAGGCTTTTAGTTTTCCCTCATTTTTTTAATTTTAATGTATAAGGAAATATAATTGGCGGTCCACTGACAGCTGAGTAGACTTGAGTGTGCTTAGCATGTCTCCACAGGTACCTTAACCCACGGCATAAATTTGGGATGTCAGTGCCTTTCAAATTGGAAGTTAAGCTCATTTTCTGCTGAAAAATTTAGTTATTGCTATTTACTAGTGAATAGCCTGTGTGAAAGTTATTTTTCTTGAATGACTAGACTTCTAATCCAGACTTTAGAAGAAACATCTTTATATTTTCTGCCCTGTGCATGGCCAGCTCTTTTTACAATGCATCTAGTTCTGTTAGGGGGCATCAGTTATTCCATTAATATGAATTTTATTTAGAGCTGCCTGTGTTTGATTTTGTGTTGGAATAAAAAAGTTAAGAATCATGTCTTTGGTATCCCCAGTGCCTAGGATAATAATAGATACTCAAAAGGATGTGAATGAATGAATGAGTATATTCTTTTCATGGAAGAAATTTCCAAATTAAGTAAAAATATTAATTATATATTTTTTAAAAAACTACAATTACTAGCCAGTACCCTTTGTGCATAAGGAATTCTAGTACATGGTTTTTATTATATGAACTGGGAAAATAAAATGCTAGAGATCTTGAAGTCTAGAAGTATGGAAATCTAGACCTGGGCAGTTGGCCAGAAGCTGGGGACTGTGTTTACCATTGGGGGAGGAAGGAAGTTTGTGGGGTTTAACATAACAACACTGAGTCCCTCTGCCCCCCACCCTATGCCCTACCCCCTAAACTAGTGACTTTCTAATTTAGCTTTCAAATGACCCAGGAGGAAAATAGGTTACAAGAACATAAATTCTTTCCTGGAAGACATTGGTTCACAGCAAAGAAACAAGAAATATCATTCTAGAAATCTTCACTAATGTGTTTAAAATATCCTAGTTAATTTTTTGATGCTAAGCATAGCTTAGATTTAGCCAGTAGTATCTTATTTACCTCTTTAAAAGCATTGACTCCATCGGATATAAATTGGGTTGGGCAATAATATTTCTAAAATTCTTTCGATTTGGAGACTTGATGATTAAAGATGTGTTTTTTGTTATAAGAATCTTGCTTTGCAGCATCATCATTATTAGCAAGCACCACTATTACACTTACACTGTGTTGAGAAAGGGGATACTTTAGATATCTGTGACCTCTGATGGACGATCATTTGTGTTGCTCTCAGGAGCCGAGGTCCAAGGAGGGCAGTGACTACTTTGACAGCCGCTCTGATGGACTGAATGCAGATGTTCAGGTGCCCTCCCAGGCATCTGTTTTAATGTGGTCTGGGGGCTCGGCTCAGATCTTGTCTCAGAGAAGTGAGTCTACTCACGCGATTGGCAGTGATCCCCTCCAACAGAACATTTACGAGAATTTCATGAGAGAGTTGGAAATGAGCAGGACCAACACTGAAAACATAGAAACGTCTACAGAAACTGCTGAGTCCAGCAGCGAATCACTCAGCTCCCTGGAGCAACTGGATCTGCTCTTTGAGAAGGAACAGGGTGTGGTCCGGAAAGCTGGATGGCTCTTCTTCAAACCTCTTGTCACTTTGCAGAAGGAAAGGAAGCTGGAGCTGGTGGCTCGGAGGAAGTGGAAACAGTACTGGGTAACACTTAAAGGTAAGTGCATTATCAGCTTGCTGAGGGCCACTGGTAATCGTTTCCTCTAGCTATACTCCTTCCTAGGAAATGAGTCCAGTGTTGTTTTGAGTTAATATGAAGGGATTTCATGGAGTCTTGTGACATGTTTTACTGCAAGTACTTGGCCAAACTGTTTAATATTGTTTACTAACTATTCACATGTATTATTCAGTCTAATAAATAGTGATCGAATTTAAATTATTCCTTATTATTTTGTAGGTATTTCTGTACCATTCTTTGATATTTTTCCCGCATCTGGGAAAAAAAACAACCCAGATAAGTAACCAAAGATAGTTTAGTTATTTGGAATGTAGATCCTGAATTTCACATTCTGCACATATTCAGAACTTCAGAGATATCCTTCCTGTCTTGTGCAACTATGAATATCATCTGGATTATTTGATTTGTATCTTCTCACCTTTATGAACTAAGAAAGTCTAGTTGTTAACAACATCAGCAAGTGCAGCTTTTTTTTTTTTAATGTAAAGGAAATAAGTAAGAATATATTTTGTTAAGGGCCGGTCCGGTGGCGCACTGCTACAGTGCACCTTTATGAACTAAGAAAGTCTAGTTGTTAACAACATCAGCAAGTGCAGCTTTTTTTTTTTAATGTAAAGGAAATAAGTAAGAATATATTTTGTTAAGGGCCGGTCCGGTGGCGCACTGCTACAGTGCGCCGCTTGGGAGCATGGCGACGCTCCCTCCGAGGGTTCGGATCCCACATACAGACCGGCCGCTCACTGGCTGAGCGAGGTGCGGGCGCAGCACTGAGGGTTGCGATCCATTGCCGGTCACGAAAAAAGACAAAAAGGAAAAAAAAAAAAAGAAGAATATATTTTGTTAAGATGATAAAAGTTTTTTGCAAGCTTTGCCCTTTAAAAATTATAATTGTCTGGCTTATGGTGGATGTATAGATTTGAAGAAATCTAGATGTCTTGTGAGGAACTGAAAAGCTCTAAATCAATACAGTGTAGATTTATACAGATGCAAACAGGATGAGCAGCCTCACAGCCTCTGGCATTTCTGCACAGTCCTCCTGTAACTCATTGCCAGAGAAACTGAATGTTGTATTCAAGTCAAACCTCATTATCGGGTGACACCTTCCCTATCATGGGAGAAAGCAGAACCATGAGTCACATCTGCAGGCAGTAGGAATGAAAATTGCTCTTTTCTAGCTTTCCTTTTGCCTCCTATTTAGAAATTTGAGCCCTGCTCTCCCAACCCTGGAGGGTGGGAATCATTTCTTGATTACCTATGAGCTCCTCTGGTAAAGATACACTTATGAAGGCATTTTGTCTCTACGTAACACTTTTCCCTAGAAAACCAGGGGTTTTATAAAACCCAAAGACCCAACATCTTACACATCACTACAGTCCTCTTTCCCAACTCTGAATTTTATTTTATTTCATTTATTTTTATTTTTTAATTGAAGTGTGATTGATTATACATATTTTGGGGGGTACAACATTGCCTACCATTACCTGTGTATAGTGTGTGTTGATCAAATCAATATTATTAGCGTGTTCATTATTACAAATTGTAATTATTCTTTATGTGCCTTACCTAATCTCTCCCCGCTCTTCTCCCTCCCCCCTCCCACCTCTAGTAATCATAGATTTGTTCTCTCCTTCTGAAAGATCAATGTATTATTGTGGTCTGTTCTTTCTTCCTCCCTCCCTGCCTCTCTCTTTCCTTCCCTTCTTTCCTCTCCTTCCTTTCCTCCCTTCCTCCCTCCCATCTAGGAATGAGGACATGTGATATTTTTCTTTCTGTGTCTGGCTTATTTCACTTAACATAATTTTTTCCAAGCTCATCCATGTTGCTTCATTTTTTTTCGTGGGTGAGTAGCATTCCATTGTGTATATATACCACAATTTCCCTATCCAATCATCCATTGATGGACATTTAGGTTGGTTCCACATTTTGGCTATTGTAAATAGAGCTGCGATGAATATGGGAGTGTAGGAAGAACTGATCACCGGGTTCCTGTATTCTGTCCCAGAAGCTAGACCAGGAACTCCGGCTGCTGACTTCAGGGGCAGGGATGGGCCTGAGTTGTCTTTGACCATTGTGAGATCTGCAGTCCTGCCTGCACCCTGCTCTCTTGGTGCTTGCTTGTAAGATACTTCAAGGTCCATGGATAAAGGGTGCTTTCTAAGTGTAAATGTTACCAAACACACATCCCTTTGTTTCCTTTGCAGCCAAGGCAGGGCATGCGATAAAGAAATGTTTTCCCAACACAATCTTCTTCATGTGGCTTTCTACACCTTTTTCCTGTGGGAATTCAGTATGTTGAGTTTCAGTTTCTTGGCTTAGAACTGAAGTTGTAGTGTTTAGACTTAACTATTTGGTTTAATCTTAGAAACACATAAATTTATATATACATACACACATACTCATTTAGGCAGAGTTCTAAAATTACCCTCAAAGTATCTATAAATTAGAAACAGTTTTCTGGAGAGAGCAGTTATTAGCAAACCATCTGGTTACCTGCCTACATATAAGTATGCTAGGGGCTCAAATATTTTTAATGGCTTGGAGGATGTAATAAATTTTTAACAAGGGTAATTCTGTTTTCCATCTGTCTATGAGTAGACTTCCAAGCAGTTCACAGGGGACTTTTTGGGCTGAAGAGTTGGCAAAGTCATTACAGATATCTATCCCTCAAAATGCACAACAAGCTGATTGATGTGCAGTGTCAGGAAAGGAGTTCATAAAATCATTTTTAGATGCTGTGGATTCTGCCCTAAGATAGGCCAGCAGCAGGGAATGGAGGGATAAGTGTGGGTCGAGAAGGTGTCAAGAAAGGTGATTTGAGACTAATTAAGACTGATTCTTCTCCCTCCACAGATATTTCTATTACCTCTTCTATTTTTGTGCTTTAATTGCTGTTCCAATCTATTTTTTCTTTTTCTACCATGGTAAGAAGAACATCCACTGTCAACTCTCCAGACCACCAGCACCCCCTAAGAGACACAGAGTTCAAATTAAACTTGACTGAATAGAGTTAAGACTGATTTCCTGTTCTTTAAGTTTGATGGCCACAGCATTCTGCATATTGTTCTACATCCTGGCCTGGCTGCAAAATGAAATGTCCTGTTTTGATTTCACGCTTCCAAATTAAAGCTGTAGTCTGTTGTCGATGGGGTGTTAGGTTTGGCAATATCTGGGCATCTGCCCAAGGTTTGCGTTCATTTCCTCTAGATGTAATGATTCTAACCATAGCCATTGGGAGTACATCATTAGGGAAACTGGGAAGTAAATGTTAACCCATTTAAAAGAGTTTGGATGTGGGTGCAACTGGTGTTGCTCTGTCCCCTTAACCTGGGGCCTGAGGATCAGGGTAATGGCATGTTGTATAGGTAGCAGTAGCATTAGATGGGCCTTTCTTGATTGAAAGGTTATGGTTATTGTTTCTAAATGCATCTCTGGCTGGACAAAGAGACTGACCTAGACTTCTAAGAAGCAGCTCTGGCCATAAACCTCTTGCTTCTTTCCCTTATTAATATTTGAGCCCTCTTGGCCTCTTATTTGGATGAGTTTTGTTTGTGGGGAGGAGAGATTGCTCAGTGCTTCTTAAGATCATAAAGTACCACGGAGGGAGAAAATGCTGTTTCTGAAGGCCAAGCTTGGGGCAGGCATCTTTCTCTCCTAGCTTCTATGTGGCTCTGGGTTCCATTATATAAATTTGTTTATTTGTATTAAGACTTAGTTTTAAAGGAAGAAATGAAACTGGTGAGAGTGAAATAGTTTAAAACTTTTGCGAATGAGGACACACAACACAGTAGGATAAAATGCCAGTGAGTGGATCCCATTCATTTACAATGCAGGTGAAAGTAGGTAGGTGTTTCTTTACTGTCAATGTGAAAGGTATTTGCAAAACACATGGTGGTGACCATATTATTATTTGTATGCCAGAGCTTGGCACATGAGAAATGCTCAAAAAAGTTTATTGGATGAAGGTTTGTTTTATTTTAGCAGCTGGCTGTTACAGGATTTAAACCTTGACCCTGGTATTATCAGCACCATGGTCTAACCAACTGAGCTAATAACTGGCCAGCACTATTGGTTGAAAGTCTTAAGGGATAGTAAAACTATATAAGAGAACATACTTACGAGCATTTTAGAAGCAACAATTTGCTTAAAAATTATGTCTAATGAGGCATTCCTATCTAATTGCTGAAATAGACCCAACTTTTAGCTACAGTACTTTATTAGCTAATAAGAGGAAAAATAAGTACTTGAAAGCATATGTAGAAGCATTTTTAGAGTAATATTTTAAAATTCAGGCATATTTAGTTTCATTTTTCTTTCCTAGTCTGTTAGTAAGTTAGTAATATTTCCTGTCACTGTGAGATAAAAGAATATACTAACATTAAGTTTTTTTTTTACATGGTGTTTGGAGAATCTATTGGGTACTTTTTCAGACATGGCAGAGTTTCTCAGGTACATCTAGTTTCTTCTTACTACAAATGGTAAACATAGTTAATAAACATGGGATTTTCTTTGGCCTCTCACTTTAGATCTTGTAAACAATGCAGTGTTGTGCTTAAGAACGAGGGCTCAGGGGCCAGAGGGCTTGAGTTCATATCCCTGCTCCACTGTGGTCCTGCTATGTAATGAGTACAGGTGATTCTGTCTCTCAGGTTCCTCATCTGTAGAATGGGGTAAATAACCACGCCCACCTCATAGGGCCCTCTGAGGATTCAATGAGTCAGTGCATGTAGGGTACTTGCAGAGTTAAGCAACAATAAATGCTTGACATTATTATAGATACCACATTTACAAAAACATCTCCTTTTCATTCGAGTTAAGGTTGATGCAACTAGGCATACTTCGGATATCAGCTTTTCCTTGCTTACTGTGTTTGTATTAAATAATTGTCTCATTGAGTTAATTAATTAATTAATTAATTTTTGAATGTATCACTTACCTTCTCATTCCTTTCCTAGATCCTCAGGTTGTGTGACAGGGATGTTACTTTGCTTCTCTCTTTCACAGGATGCACCCTGCTGTTTTATGAGACCTATGGGAAGAATTCCATGGATCAGAGTAGTGCCCCTCGGTGTGCTCTGTTGGCAGAAGACAGCATAGTGCAGTCTGTCCCAGAACATCCCAAGAAGGAAAATGTGTTCTGCCTCAGCAACTCCTTTGGAGATGTGTACCTTTTCCAGGTACTGCCAGTGCTTTGTCCATGTAGAGTTGAGATGATAGCTTGTGTACTGTTAGGATGAGAAGGAAGCCAGGAAGGGGATGGGGATCTGGTGCCAGCAGCGGATGTGGTAGCAGAAAATTGCCCAGCCGCCAGGCGGCAGGAGGGAGTAGCAGTAGACTGGGTAGGATGCTCCGGTCCTCAGTGGGCTGGTGAGATAGCCACCAAAATAGTCACATGGCCTCAGAGGAGCCAAGCCCACAGATCTGAGGTTCAGAGCTCCCCTTCCCTTGACACCATGAGCAAGGGAACTTGCAGGCCAGACCCCCAAACTTCCCTGAGTCCTGCAACCCCCACTGGTTCCTCCTGGCCCTTCACACATCGTCCCGTAGTCCCACCCCACATCCTGCCCTCCTGGCCACCCCACTCTGCCCCCTTTCCACCCTGGCAACAGAAAGGGATTGAAGTGTTGGACAAAGAAGGGGCTTACGGCCTCAGGGCACTGGCTGGGATAAGGGCAGTGAGCTGAGGGCAGCTGTGTCCTACCCCTTTCCTGGGAGTTGGAGGGGAGACGCCAAGACCCTGGAAAATGTAGCACATGTCTGGATGTCACATAAGTGTGTGTGTGTGCAGGCACAGGCCCCAAGAATCTAGTGACTCCCCCACAGCCCCATTCTGCTGATAGGACACTCAACCTGGGAGGTAGGACAACCTACCTCGGGCCGCACAGCCACTAAGAGGCAGAAATCTAGTAGCCTTTCCACCCCCAGACCCCCCCAACCCCCGCAAGGGATTTTCCTGACAACTCCTAGGGACAGAAAGGCTTCCAGGGCTGGGGTCTCAGCTGCCCCTGCATCCTTAGGACAGGGTCCAGCTCTGCTGCCGGCCACACCTTCCCCAAGCCTAGGGGACTCTTCCACTTCCTTTCAGTCCTCACTGCCCCAGCCCAGGTGCAGTGGCCTGGGCTTCAGGCAGGTGGTGAGTTGATTTGCGCCAGGCATATCTCCTGAGTTTCTGTTGGAGTCAAACCTGTCAGCCTCAAAGACTCAGGCTGTCCCGTCCCCAGTCTCCCAAGTTGCTGGTACTGGAATATGCAGGAGGTAGGAGCTGCCTCTGTGGGTGTGAAAATGGGGGCTGTGGAAGCGTGTGAATAGGTGTGTGTGCATGTGTAGAGTGTGCGTATGTGGGTGTAGCTGTGTGCTCCAGTAACAGTGTATCCAGATGTCTCAGTACCTCTGCCTGCTAAGCCCCACCCTGCTGACTGGGTCTCTGTAGGCAGCTGTCTGAGGGCTGCTGGGCCTGCACATCATATCCCCCTGATGGAAACCGGTGGGGAGACACCTGTAGGTTGGTTCTGGCCCCCAGGCAGCAAAACTGGAGATGAGAGGAACCCAGCCTCACCCAGTGACCCCTCATGACCTCCTGCCTTCTCTGTGGGGGTCTGGGACACCCACAATAACGTCGACATGGGCAAGGCTACCCCCTCTGCTTGGCAGTGACTATCCACCATCCTGGGCTGCCTGTGCCAAGCCCCCTCCTGGGTTCTGGGGCATTTGAGGGGCTCCTTGATGGGCCAGGTTGGCTAGGGGGGCACTAATCACCTTTCAGCCTGGAGCCCCCACCTCTCCACCTACTGCACAAAAGGGCTAAAGGTCCCCCTGCCCTGCCCAGTTCCAGTTTACAGACAGTGTGCGGTAGCCCTAGGGCCTGGCCCCGCTCTCCTCGTGTGCCTGCTCCTCTTGAGACCCTACCTCCTCAGTGGGTATGGAGCCCTCCACATGCCAGGTAAGTAGCAAATCCCTCCTCCTGCCATGGGCCATGTCTCAGAGAAGGCCCCCATACTGCCCCTGGCCCACCTGCAACCCAGCTGGGCCCACCTCTCCCAGCCACGACTTCTCATTTTGCCTCGGGCCTGTTGCCATCCTGATCTCTCTGCAATAACAAGGAAGTGAGATTCCACAGAGGACATCCATCATGCTCGCTCTCTCTCTCCCCCTCCCTCCTTCTCCCTCCCTCCCTCTCTCTCTCTCCCTCCCTCCCTCCCTCTCTCTCTCTCCCTCCCTCCCTCCCTCTCTCTCTCCCCCTCCCTCCTTCTCCCTCCCTCCCTCTCTCTCTCCCCCTCCCTCCTTCTCCCTCCCTCCCTCTCTCTCTCCCCCTCCCTCCTTCTCCCTCCCTCCCTCTCTCTCTCCCCCTCCCTCCTTCTCCCTCCCTCCCTCTCTCTCTCCCCCTCCCTCCTTCTCCCTCCCTCCCTCTCTCTCTCCCCCTCCCTCCTTCTCCCTCCCTCCCTCTCTCTCTCCTTCCCTACTTCCCCCTCCCCTCTCCTCCCCCCCTCTCCCTCTCCGTCTTTCTCTCTCTCTGTCAAGATCCTGTCTGGGAGTTTTTTCCCTTGTCGTAGCTTAGAATATTAGAGTTGGGAAGGGACTGTAGTTATGTAGCCTGGCCCCCTTGTTTTCATAGGCACTGGGAGGCAGTGACCATGAGTGACCTCCCAAAGCAGGACTGGAACCAGGTCAAGGCTGTGCTGTGTTGCTACTGGGTGGGTCGGGACCCTTTGCCCCTTAGGAAAGGTGTTGGTCACAGGTGTTTAGCTCAGTTTATGTCACTGTTGAAGAAACAAAAAAAAATAATAGCAAAAAATAATGCCATAGATGCAAATACTAAGAAGCCAAAAAACCCTCACACACAGAAGTATCTCCCCTCTTGTGATTCTTCTATGAAGTTACAGTGTGTGTGTGCTTTGTGTGTATGCATGCACATGTGTGTGTGTATTTGTGTCTGTCCCACCCTGGTCAGGCTGGGTCATGCCTACTTCTATCTCAGCCCCTGTGTCCTCCACACTGCCTGTGTCCTTTGGTACTTCCCAGAAGCCCTTCTGCACTGGTCTGTGGGGTGTGGGGAGCCCCCTGGGCAAGAGGCAGAGCCTTAGGTCAGCTAGAGGGTCTCCCAGCAGGCCCACCAAGCAGAGCTCTAGGGCTGCCTGATGCTCTCTGAGCCAACACTGTGGCTGGTGGGACAATCCTGGTGGTGGGCATCAGTGTCCAAGCCTGGCTTGGGGCCTGGGGCAGGGTCCTGGCTGGAATCCCAGCCTGGGAACCCCAGATCCTCATATCTTGCTGCCCCCCACCTCATGTGTTTGTAAATACTCTGGCATCCTTTGGCCCCGAGAAGATTTTTAAATGCGTTATTTACTCCTCTTATCATGACAATTGTTATAAAATAAGCAAAACTAGAAAAATGAAAAAAAAATGCGGAGGAACAGAATTAAAAAGCAAAACTTAGAAATGAAATAGAGTAAGTTCTTAGTTAGGCTTTGGGTTTGGACTTAAGCCAGAGACATTGGCTTCTGCTAATGCCCAGGTACAGTAGGAGTGTTGCAGATCTAGTTACTCATACAGTAGGCATTTCTTGCATGCCCATGAAATGCCAGGCTGTGGCCCATGAGATGCTCATCAGAACACACAAAATAAATCATGATCCCTCTTCTGGAATAGCTCGTGATCTGGTGAGTGCTATGTCCAAGATTCTCAGAGTCAAAGCTTTTTAAGTGAAGCCTAGAAAATATGGACAGGAAAGGCTTCAGTTCTTTCTGAGAATCCCTGTGGAAGTCAGAGAAGAAGCTTTTCAGGAAAAATGCTATGTGGTCTCATTTCCCTGTGTATGTGGTCTTAGAACGTTAAGATTCAGGTATTTGCTGTCAGAAATTTTAGCAACTTGCTAGCAAATGAGAAGTGGTAGAACATGGTGGTACTGAGCTGTGGGTTGGAGTCAGGCTGAGATTTGAATCCTGATGCCATTATTGAGTGTGTGAGTCATTGTGGAGTACTTATGAACTTCTTTGAGCCTCTAGCCCTTCTACCAGTAGGATAACAATAGCTTATCGGAGCACTTTAAAGGTAGATAATAAAATGTGTATGTGTTAAGTGCTAAAGAAAATAACTATTATTATAATTAATTAACGCAGAAGAGGTGGGAATCATAGCCAGGAAGAGAGGTATGCTTCTCAGATGCCTTCCAATCCAAACCCAGTATTTCATGTAGATGCAGTGTTGGATGTAGATCATACCTGACTGGAAGGCTTATGGAAAATCCCATAGGTCTTGGGTTTAGATCTCTGATGAAGTGGGTTCTAGAAGCCCTCAGAAGCTCTGCAGAACATCAGTGTTCTCTAGGCTGACTTTGGGAATCTAGAATGCTCTGAAGTGCTTACTGCAACAGTATTTCCCCAGACCAGCCCCAGGTAAAATCATTGGGTCTCTAGCCTTATTGCTGTCCCCAGACTGACTTGCCATACAAGAGTCAGGGCCTGAGATTTGATTTTTCTTCTCAACAGAAAGGTTGTATAGAACCTTCTATGAATCTTTAAAGCAAAGTAATGAATTGATATTAATCTGAATGGCAGAGAAGGTAAATACCTTAGATTAAACTACATGGATTGCTTAGGGGTAAATGTGAAATGAATATTTTATTTTGTGATTCAGACAAAATATCCTTAGTTTTAAGAAGTTTTTTTCCAATTAGTCCTATACTATGATCCCAGAGGCCCCTGATAGATCAACTCCATGGCTTGAATGTGTGTGGTTATTTTCATTGAGAACTGAAAGTGCTTCTCAGCCTGCTTGGAATCATACATATTTGTCCTTTCTGCTTTATTCAAACTTTATTGTTTTTAAAACAAAATATTTTTCTTATATAAAAATATATGGTCATCGTGTCTGAAGGTACTGAAGAACAGAAAAAGAAAAACCATTCTACATTCCCAGTATTCAAAGTGTTTTAATGTTATTGTGCATTTACCCCCCAAATATTTTTATTTATACTTTTTGTAATTGAAGCCATACTGTAGATGTAATTTTATATGCAGGTTTTAAAATTTAATGCTTTAATCTCAATATTTTCTCATTAAAATTTTGAAGATAAGCAGCCTTTTAGAGAGAGGCATAATGTAACCCTGACAACGTATACCCTAGTTTTCTTATCACCTCCCTGTTGTTGGCCATTGGCTTATTTCTAGTTTTTCTTACTGTCATATTTAGGGCACATACTTATTTCTCCTCTGCTCTTGATGTTTGCTCAGACCCTCTGAACCTGAGTTGAATGGTTGTGGGTGTTTTTGAAGTTAAACAATTTTATGAATGAAAGTACTACTTGGGTTTTTCTCAGCAAAGCCCAGCCTGCCATTTCAGAGAGCACTTTTGTGGTCAGATATCTTCATACAGTTTTCTCCTGCTCTATGTTTAGGCCACAAGCCAGACAGATCTAGAAAACTGGGTCACTGCCATACATTCTGCTTGTGCGTCCCTTTTTGCAAAGAAGCATGGGAAAGAGGACACAGTGCGGCTGCTAAAGAATCAGACCAAAAACCTGCTTCAGAAGATAGATATGGACAGCAAGATGAAGAAGATGGCAGAATTGCAGCTGTCCGTGGTGAGCGACCCAAAGAACAGGAAAGCCATAGAGAACCAGGTACTATTTATCTACACTGTGGTGGTTATTCTTACACTCTGGGGAAATAGTTTCAGGTACTCGGTGACTGTCCTTTTGTGACATGGGTGATACGATATGCTTTACAACCTTTGATTGATATATAAATATATAGTAACCACATCTTTTTTCCCAGTATTGAGTGGTGCCTTCTTGCCTAGATGATTCTCTTATATATTGTCACTTTCTGAACAAAATCTGTATAATAAAACCACTTTGAGATTAGACTGGTAAGATTCTAATACAAAGGATGGCTTTGGAGAGTGGTTTTGTTTGACAGAGCTGTTTTTGTATTTTGGGTTAAAGTCACAGACAACAGATTAGCTGTTAAGGAAAATGCTCTGTGTGGTCTAGTGCCATATTCGTATCATTTGGAGGAGCAGTAACATACTGGTCAGTTGGGGCTTCTAAACACCTGGAAAAGAGGGTTTAGGTTGGGAAGTGATGAGGAGTTGTCCGTTAGGTTAGACAGGTGCTGGTGCAACTTTTTCAGGGCCTTCATCTTAGTCTATGACAAAATACTAGAAATGGGGTGGCTTTTAAACAACAGAAATTTATTTCTCACAGTTCTGGAGGCTGAGAAGTCCAAGATCAAGGTGCTGGCTAATTTGGTGTTTGGTGAAGTCCCGCTTCCCTTATAGAAGGTGTCTTCTTGCTGCATTCTCACATGGTGGGAGGAGCAAGGGAGCTCTCTGCGCCTTCTTTTATAAGGTCACTAATCCCGTTCATGAGGGCTCTGCCACCGTGACCTAATCACCTCCCAAAAGGATCCGCCTCCTAAACCTAAGCCTTGGGGCTTAGGATTTCAACATATGAATTTTGGGGGAACATACACATTCAGGCCATAGCACTCTTGAATGTAAGGTTGGATATAAGGTTTATTTTATCCTCTGTATTCAAGGGAGGAATAGAGGTTTTTAAGTTGGGAACAAAGCATATGAAAACAGTCTCTTTGGAAGGTTAATAAGGCAGCAGTGTGGAGGACAGATTGCAGAGGGCAAAGGCATCGGGCAGTAAATGGCACTGGTCTGGGTGTTTAGAAATGAGGGCTTGGTCCCGTGTGACAAAACAAAAATTCAACAATTTACATGGAAAATGTATACCAGAGTGCATCATTTTCTCTAATTCTATAGAATCTTACAGATACTGTCCTACAGTCCTGAATGAAACTATTCCTCAAACAGGATATGCCATTTATTTAAAGAGTACCTTCTAGCTAACTCCAAACTGTGAAATAGTTTTAATAAGGAAGTAAAAAGGAAGCAGAAACTGCCAAGATGAATATGCAGGAGGGCCTTTGGGGTTTGACAAGGGCACAGCTGCTGACACTGCTGAGAGATGTGCTGTCCCCCAGAGCCAGCTTGTGTCCTCTCTGCCCCTGCCTGCTTCATCTCCATGGCCTCACCTTGTTCCCATCTCAGAGAGTTCAGGTCCTGGGGCAGTGTGACTGTACCACCCAACTTCTGTCTGTGTGCAGTGCAGGTTGTGATGCCATGTCAGTGGTGTGGCAGACCAGAAAGCTCAAAGGAGAAATGGTTATCTCAGCATTCTCTTTGCACCCCATCTTACCCACGGTCCTGAATTTCCAGGATCCAAAGCTGCCATCTGTCTATCATCAGAGATGCAGCTTATGGATTTGAATGTCAGAGCACTCAAAAATCTCATACTGATTGTGGTGGAAAAAAGTATGGTTTTAACTTTTCCTGGCTCTTTTTAAGTTTAACTTCAGAGCCATATTTAGTTCTCTGGAAGGGATACCCAGCTTGGAGTTTTCAGGTCCTTATTTATATATAGTCAACTGTTTACGTTAGGGAGAGAAAAGGGAAAGTTGGCAATAATGAGAGGCCTTTCTTTCGCATGAGTGCACACACAGGTGTGTGTGTGTGTGTGTGTCTCCTCTCTCTGGCCACAAGAAGCCCAAGCAAACATTTCTTAAAAATTTAAATTTTTGTTAAATGTAATTTTATTGTCTTATTTGTAGTTTGTAAATGCTTAATTGGTGACATCACAATTGATGCTATTCTCTGATTGGGAGGTAGCAATTACTTTAAAGTAAATCCCTACCCAAATGCAAAGGTCTAGGATGGTCAGGTGGCCTGAAGAGAAACTCTTTTAAAGAATTAGGCAGGCTTCTGGTCAAGATGGTGGAATAGATGGTTCCCAGTATCACTCTCTCCCACAAATCAACCAATTTACAACTATTAAAAAGCAACGACAGCCAAGCTGTGGCCACTAGAGCTGAGGGGAAGAGGAGGAGAGGCCTACAGAACTCATGAAGACAGGAGAAGCCACAATGAGAAGAAGAAAGGATTGCTCCCATACGGAGCAAGAGCCGGCAAAAGTTGCTGCTGTGCCCTTTCCTATGAAGTTGCTTGGAGGTGGTAGGGGAGAAGAGGGCCTTGTTGGCCCTTAAGCCAGCAAGACCACTAACAGGATTCCTGTGGACCCACACAGGACTGAGGAGCCATAACAACTGAAAAAAGGAGCCACTCAGAGGCTGGTGAGTCATCGCGAGGGAGTAGAGCATGGCCCATCCCATGGGAAGTGAGTGGAGTGCGGGTGGTGGAGGAGACAGGCCCACCAGAGGAACACTGGGGCATGGTATGGACAGCTGATCTGCCCTCCAGTCAGCATAGGCCCACTCAGTGGAGACTGGTCAGGAATACGGATCTGCAGGGGGTGCCATTTGCTGAAAAGTCTCAGGCCCAGACCAGAGTTTCCACACAACCCAGGTGTATCAGACCTCAGAAGACTTGAAAGTACATACAAGGTCAATACAATGTCAACCGTTAAAACCTGAGCTGCACAAAAAGCCTTCCCCAGGGAATCAGCAGCAAAGCAGTAATTTAGCTCAACTACAGGGCTCAAGTGCTGGTTCCCACAGGAAGTTCCCCCATTTTAGAAGGAAGCAAAGGACAACAGATTAGTTCCATTGCAGAGTTTAAGTGTCTGGAACAGCACAGAAGTGGAAGAAAAAATACCCACAGACCAGAGACAAAGTTTGATATTAACTAGTAAAGGTCTCACATCAACAAAGAATACTGACAAAACCTAGAAGGACCCAAAGCCCCCTGGGCTTCCAAGCCAGGGCTGGGGGTCTCGACCATGCCCCCCAACATCCTCAACTAGCCCAGTGATGACCACCAAGCCACTGCAGGAAGTGCCTTGGCTCGGCAGTGCCTCGGTGTGGGGCCGAGGGCTTCTGCCATACACTCCTGACATCTACATTCAGCCTAGCAATGACGGAGCCACTGCTGGAAACCCCCTGGTCTCCCCTGCAGGAATGAGGAGGGTGCCACGGGCCTCAACCATGCCCCGCCTCCTTCCTCCTCCTCCCACCCTATTTCCTTCCCGCCACCCCAAGTGCTCTGCAACAACATCTTAGAATGTAAAAAAAATAATAATAAACTTAAAAAAAGAATTAGGTAAATTATAACTGTGGCCTATTATCCATTCTTTGACAGAATCATTACATTAGTTATTTTAAGCATTCTGTCCTACTACTACTAATTTTTCATGTCCATACTCCCCTCCCCTGTACCCATGGCTCTAAACCCTTCCTGCTTCCTCCCCACTCCCCCATCTATCCCACCCACGCCACCCCTGTGAGTGCCATACACACACTCACCTTCTCATTTTGCTCTTGTGAATGTGTGGTAAGAAACAATTTGGACTGATGTTCAGAAAATCCACCTGAAAATATTCACCTCACCATATTGACAATTTTTAGGTTATAATTTAGGCATGTTTTCCCAAAGGGCTTTGGAGTGGATGACATGAATTAGATACAAGCCCACCATTCTTAACTCATTTACTAGAAGGTTGTAAAGAGAGCTGTTTACTCTACTTGCAGATGCAAAGACTATGAAATGTTAAAGTGGTTACAAACACAAGCTTGGAATTGCTTTTACGAGATCTTTTTTGACTAGAAAATGTTATGTGATGCTACAGAGGCAAAGGTATTTACAGATCAAGACTAATCAGGAAATGGTCTCCCAAATATCCCATATGTATATAGTTTTCTCTTAAAAACTTCTTTAAAAGAGCAATGTTTTATCCACTTACCATTTAAAAATCTCAACTTCACTATATACTTTTGTTGATGTAGCATCTTATCCCAGAGACCTCGAGAGCCTCAGCTAGAGTCATTTCTAGCCTAATAATAGCAGAATGCACAGTGTAAATTACATCATGCAAGATGAAGTCTCTGGAACAGGTTTTCTTTGAAGTATTTGGGTGGAAAAGATCAATGTCAAGGCTTTTTCCAAATAAAAAGACACTATCACGTTAATAGCCAAGCTTCATCCTGTTACATGGTAACATGCTTTGTGTAAAATAAACTGCCCTTCAGTCTTGTCCTTGGGCCTCGCAGGTATTTTGTGGGGCATTTGAGCATGTCCAGTGTGGACCAGGCCCTACAGCCAGTCCACATGTCGGATTCCCTTTGAAGCTCTGAGGGAGGGAGAAATGGAGTCCAGTTAATACTTTATTTTCCTTTCCATTTATTATTTTAAACAAGTAAATAAGGACAAAACCTCACCAGCCTTAGGTGGTCTTGGCATCCCCCAGATGGTTTCCCTGTCCTGCCTCCTCATGTGCATTTCTCAGGGGAACCGGGCGCTTCCCCTTGCTGAGGAGGTGGTCCAATGGAAGGGACGCTGCATTGGAAGGAGGCAGCTCTTGGCTGGCAGGGCTGGGATTGCTCTGGTTTTGTGAAACATGGCTTCATTTCAAACATTTACTTAAAGTTTTAAAACTGTAAAGAGGATGGATTCAATTTACACAAATTGGAAACTGTGGTGAAGTAAACAATGAGAACAAGCTTTGAGGAAAATAAAATATTTTGTATGGGTGGTTAGGGGGGAAACAATTTGGGGAATAAACCATTGGAGAGAAGAATATTTGTGAGGAGCTTTGAGGGAGACAAGGTCAGATTATGGAGGTGCTGGCCGAAGACATAGCCTTTAGTGTTTTAGGCAGGA